TTCTAATGGTTATTCCTCACGCTTGGCTTCATATTTAATTCACGAGCGACCTTCCTAGTGCTCTATTCTGGTATCAGATGCAATACTTACTCTCGCTGCTCTGAACCCCTTTCTCACTCTGGTTCAGACTTCGAGCAACTATCTATCCACTTGAAACCTCTTATTGTACCTTCGTACCTCACTCTCGATGTATTCTATATGTTCAGCTCGAAAGATAATCTTATGCTCATTCATGAGTTAACCCCAGATTGTTTCCCTCATAAGCATGTTGTCGTAGCCGAGCTGCCCCCTTACCTATTCGTAAGTATGTTGAAGTTTCCGAAGAAAAGGACGACTTCACCATGATGACCTGAAGCAGAGAAATGAAGACGTCAATGTAATGGATCGACCTCTTCAAGAAGAGCAACCAAGACCGAGAAGATTCGTTAGAATTTCGTAACCAGGCCTTTCCCCCTTAGTCCCCCTCTTAAATCTCGGGACGAGATTTCTTGTAGTAGAGAATTGTGACGCCCAGATATTTAAGCTACAGTAACCCTCTACTACTGATGCCACATCACCAAGATTACTAATGTTAATCTCGCGTTGATTCAAACCGATTCAAAATTCAATTTTAAAACAAAGTGAAGTAATTAAAAAAATTCAAAAGTCAAAACTAAAAAGTTCTAGCTGTAGCAAATAATTCATATGTAATTGTGGTGAATAAACCACATTCCTATAAAATATTTAAGTGCTCTAAAATAAATAAAACAGCAACATAAACAAGTAATTAAATGCCTTTTTGTGATTAATAAAATTTTAAACTATTTAATTTTGGAGTTCAACTTTTGTGGTAGTGGAATACATTGGAATACTAATCTAGGTACAACTCTTGTATTTTATAAAACAAAAATGAACTGGTAACTAATAGAAAACAGGAAACAGAAAACAACCCCTCCCCCCACTGGGCCAACCGGCCCAGCTAGCAGACCTTGCCCAGCCCAACCGGGTCACCTCCCTCCTCGCTACAGGAGCGGAGACAGGGCGTGGCGCCCATCGACCGGCGCCACTGCCGACGACGCCCACGCGCCGCCCATCCGACGGTCCACGAAGGGGATAAGGCCGCACCAAGCCCCCTCTCCCTAAGGAACCCTAGCGCGCCCCAATCCCCGTCCCCACGCTCTCTCTCCCTCCCGAGCTCGTCCGCCTGTTGTCGTCGCCGTGTCGTCGCCGTTGTCGTGGCCTCGACCACTCCCCTGCCAAGCCTTTGTATCCAGAAGACGCAGGCCATCGTCCTCAACCCCGAAGTGGACTGCCTCGACCCGGATCGACAAGACGGCGCCGCATCCGTCGATCCCCTCCGTCGACAACCGCTTCTGTTCGTCTTTGATTCGCCCATCTTCGAGCAGCTCCGGCATCCCCGAGTCCCCCTTGAGCTCCGATGTGAGCTCCACTTCCTCCCCTGCATCTTCTTAAGCTTGTCCGAGCTCCCGCGTACGCGTACGTGCATACTAGCTGATGTTGCTCGTGCCGCCGCCTACTATCGATATGCTCCGCTTGCTACCACCGCTCCCGCTACCGCGCTCGCTTGCCGCCTCGTCGCTGACTGCTGCTGCGTGCCTGCCGCCTGACGTTGCCCGCTACCGCCCCGCGCCCCTGCTGTCCACCCCGCGGCCCCGCGCGTTGCCTCGCCGATGCGCTGTCGCTGCAGTCGGCCGCCCCCGCGCACACCTGCACTCGCCTGCTGCTCGCCCCCAGCGCCCTTGCCCCTGCTCGCCGACCGCGCCGGCCAGCGCCGCGTGCAGCCGCTGCTGCTTGGCCACGGCCACTGCTACTTTCCCCTGCGGCTGCTCACACATCTTGGCCACGCCATGGCCATGTGCGTGTGTGTTCTTGTGCGTGATGTACAGCCACACAATGGATGGGCCATCCCAGATTAGATTAGGGGCCTATTTGTTGATTAGCTCTAAGCCTAGTACAAAACACCCTCCGTTAGTCCCCACCACTAAATAAACCCTAGTTAAAATTATGTGCAAATGACACGTGGGACCCATGCACTATTTTAATGGATAAGGTTTAACTAGCTAAGTCAATGACAACCGGGTCCCAACTGACACTATTGACCAGTCAAAACTTGACTGTTGACTTTGACCGGGGCCCCACTTGTCTGCCTTTGGAGGGTACTGACCTGCGTGTACTTAGCATATTAGCCATTTAGTATTTCGTATTAAAAATAAACATAGAAAATTCAAAAAATGATTAAAACGTTGAAAATTAATATAAAATAATCGGTAACTCGGATGGAAAAACTTTATACATGAAAGATGCTTAGAACGACGAGACGAATCCAAACACGCAGCTCGTTCGTCCGCCACACATCCCTAGCATAGCAAACAAGCAACATTTCCCTTCCGGTGTATCTGTCCGAAAACGCAAAACACCGGGAATACTTTCCGGATGTTTCCCCCCTTTGCCGGTATCACCTATCCCTGCGTTACATCACCCCTAGCACAACGTATTGCTACGTCTTACTTTGTGTTACATTTAATTGCTCTGTTATTTATTGTGTTCCCCCTTCATTACTTATTTCCGATAGACTCTGAGACCGCTGCCGATGTCCGTGTGTTCGACTACATTGAAGACGACCCCTCTCTCTTGTCAGAGCAACCAGGCAAGCCCCCCCTTGATCACCAGATATCGCCTACTCTCCTCTATACTGCTTGCATTAGAGTAGTGTAGCATGTTACTGCTTTTCATTAATCCTATCCTGATGCATAGCCTGTCATTGTTGCTATAATTGTTGATACCTTACGTGCAATCCTAAATGCTTAGTATAGGATGCTAGTTTAATCATCAGTGGCCATACATTCTTGTCCGTCTGCCATGCTATACTATCGGGCCGTGATCACTCGGGAGTTGATCACGGGTATATACTTATATACATAATATATGATACTTGTGGTGACTAAAGACGGGTCGGCTCGTAGGAGTACCCACGAGTGATCCACGGATTGGGTCCGAAAGGACGTTTGTTCCGACGGCCCTCTGAGTGGATCTTTGTGGCGAAGCGACAGGGCAGGTTGAGACCACCTAGGAGAGAGGTGGGCCTGGCCCTGGTCGGCGTTCGCGGTTATTTCAAAATAACACATTTAACGAGATCTTGGTATTTGATCTGAGTCTGGCTACTGGCCTATACGCACTAACCATCTACGCGGGGACAGTTATGGGCACTCGACGTCATGGTATCAGTCGAAGCCTTCGTGACGTCAGCGACTGAGCGGCGCGCGCCGGATTGGAACGTAAGCCTGCTCTTGTATTAAGGGGGCTAGTTCTGCTTCCGACCGCGTTCGCAACGTGCAGGTGTGCAAAGGGCGATGGGCCCAGACCCCTGCGCCATAGGATTTAGACCGGCGTGCTGACCTCTCTGTTGTGCCTAGGTAGGGTTGCGACGTGTTGATCTTTCGAGGCCGGGCATTATCCAGGAAAGTGTGTCCGGCCAAATGGGATCGAGCGTGTTGGGTTATGTGGTGCACCCCTGCAGGGAAGTTAATCTACTCGAATAGCCATGATCTTCGGTAACATGACGACTTGGAGTTGTACCTTGACCTTATGACAACTAGAACCGGATACTTAATAAAACACACCTTTCCAAGTGCCAGATACAACCGGTGATCGCTCTCTCACAGGACGACGAGGGGAGGATCATCGGTTAGGATTATGCTATGCGATGCTACTTGGTGAACTTACCATCTACTCTCTTCTCCTGCTGCAAGATGGAGGTTACCAGAAGCGTAGTCTTCGATAAGACTAGCTATCCCCCTCTTATCCCGGCATTCTGCAGTTCAGTCCACATATGATACCCTTATTCCCTTTGATACCAATGCATACATATGTAGTGTAGCTCCTTGCTTGCGAGTACTTTGGATGAGTACTCACGGTTGCTTTCTCCCTCTTTTCCCCTTTCCCTTCTACCTGGTTGTCGCAACCAGACGTTGGAGCCCAGGAGCTAGACGCCATCGTCGACGACGACTACTACTACTCGGGAGGAGCCTACTACTACGTGCAGCCCGCTGACGGCGACCAGGAGTAGTTAGGAGGATCCTAGGCAGGAGGCCTGCGCCTCTTTCGATCTGTATCCTCGTTTGTGCTAGCCTTCTTAAGGCAAACTTGTTTAACTTGTCTGTACTCAGATATTGTTGCTTCCGCTGACTCGTCTATGATCGAGCTCTTGTATTCGAGCCTACGAGGCCCCTGGCTTGTAATATGATGCTTGTATGACTTATTTTATTTGTAGAGTTGTGTTGTGATATCTTCCCGTGAGTCTCTGATCTTGAACGTACACGTTTGCGTGTATGATTAGTCTACGGTCGAATTGGGGGCGTCACAACTCTAGTAACTGCAGAACTACTACTCAAACAGTTGGCCCTGAATAAAAAAAAGTAACAGAACATGTGCAGAATTGAACAGTGATCACTTGGGCTGCATTTGTCACGACTAACAAGGCTGCTCATTTGTAATTGTTTAGATGAGCTTGCATACTAAACGTAACCTTAGGCATGTTTGGTTGGGGAACCAAATGGATTGGACTGCGTGGTATGCTGCTGCATATTTATAATCACTTTATACAATGAGATTGGCTATAAGGTTGGCTATTAGATTAGTCCTTTTCTCCACCTTCTCTCTTTCTCTTTTCCTCAATATTTACTATGTTTGCCATGGAGCACATGTAGAGGTGGGCTCTTGGATGAGAGCCGACACCCCTCATTTCTTTCTTCTCTCTCTCCTCCACATAGACAAAAGTGGTAACATAAGCAGGCTATAAGACCCTTATTATACTTGCTCTAATGGAAACCTAACAGATTGACTGTTTAGAAAAATGCCATGGCAAAATAAAAATCTAGTATAACAAGTTAGAAGCAGAAAGGTAAATCCAACCAAAATACATAAAAGGACACATTACAAAAGCGTAAGAGTGACTTTGGTAGCTTGTTGCATGGCAGAGCGGAAGGGAAAAGATGGTATACCTTCACCCAATATTGTGCTTTGATGAATGATTCTGCACTTGTTATGTCATAGACAACGATTGCAGCACCAGCTCCCCTGTAGTACAGAGGTGCTAATGCAGCATACCTGAAATTGGTCTGTTGTCATGACTTCTTGTGTGGTAAGAAAAGCATCTTAAACGCTTGCAGATAACATAAATCAGCTAAGCAGAATGTATGTGAAAGTACAAGATGGTACAGTAATTTTATACTAGAAATCAGTGCAAAGATGTACTATAGCCTATAGGTATGATTTAACCACAGAATGTGTACCTCTCCTGGCCAGCAGTGTCCCATATTTCAAACTTCACTGTTGTGGAGTCCTCCAATGCCAATGTTTGTGACAGAAATGATGCACCAATAGTTACCTAAATCCATCGTAGTTAAATAAGATGAAAGAAATACTGTATGTAGAAAGCGACAAGGGAAATCATTCCTAGTGTTCAGAAAGTTGGACAAAATTGGGTAGTTGTTTCACCTTTGATGTGGGGTCAAACTGACCACGGACAAAGCGAAGAACAATGCAGCTTTTCCCAACACCAGAATCTCCCAGTAAAACCAACTACACAATAGTGAAAATGGAATCAACAGGCATAGTTTCTTATTTTAATTCAACTTGATGTTAACAAAGGAGATGCAAAATACTGCAAGGACATAAACTTTGAACTAACAACGAACAAATAAATAATCTAAAGAGGATAGCATATAGCAGACCTTCACTTTCAAATTCTTTGAGTCAGTTGCAGAGTTCTCGTTGTTGATATTGCCCAAGCCTCCAGTACTGTTTGCTGAATAAAAAGACCATTTATGCATCAGCATGAGAAAAAAAAATGTCCGCTTGCAAGCAGAGTCAAATGGAAAGAGTGAATTCTGGACACATATGACGGACCACAGAATGAAACAACCCATAAATATACATAGCAAACACAACTGAAGAGCTAATTAATGTTGGATGCTACATTCAAGCAGCTCTAGCAGAATATTTTTTAAAGTAGCTATAGCAAATTAACTGAACTTGTCAATACTAGGTGAAAGAATGCTACACTTTAGAACATAAAATAAAAAAGTATGAAATACTCCGAAATCTCCCTAACAGCATGTTTCATACTCCCTCTGTCCCAAAATAAGTGTCTCAAGCTTAGTACAACTTTGTACTAGAGTTAGTACAAAGCTGAGACACTTATTTTGGGACGGAGGGAGTACAAAATATCTTACAGTTTACATGTGGCTCAAAGTGGTAAAATAAACGCCCAAGCATCCTTCTTCACACACTAGTCTTCTTATCCTAAGCATGAGCCTAGATCACAATAAGTACAGGCATATCCCATTTCATGGTATGTTTGACAACTAATTTCCTTCTTTTTTAAGAAAAAATTGAATAGATTCCTTTCTGGGTAATATTAAAAAAAGGTGTAAAGTAGATGAAATCATGAGATTCTATTTCTCGGTTTACTACTGACTGAGGTTGGATGTGGTCTATCAATGAACATCAAGAGACTGGATACAAATTTACAGGTTGAAGCCAGATTCTGTGTTCATACTTTACATACTATTACAGAACGCAGTGAACGAATATTTGGAACTCCCAGGCCACCCCCAGGCTAAGGCATTTCAAATTGTAGGAGTCAAAGGACATAACCTTGACAAACATCAAATGATCCGAACTCCCAAGAGACGGCTGTACTCGGAAGGGAGCTGACTCAGTGCCCCTCCATCATCAACATGTAGATATTCCTTTTGTAGATAATTTCACCCTTCAGACCCTGACTTATTCTGTTTGGGGGTATATTAATTCTTCTTGTGAGAGAAGCCCTGTAAATACCACTTTTACATGTTGTCATGTGTAATAATTATTGTATCAATCTCACCAAATTTGGTATTCTTGGAGAACCCGTCACTAGGACATACACATCCCTTTTTAAGTAATACAGCGCCCTTTATCGAAAAAGAACGTACACATCACCCTCACCCCCTCGGGGACTCCTTCGCGAGCTTACATACATGTATCAATGAGACTAAGGTACTCCCTCCGATCTTACTTGTCGCTCAAACGGATGTATCTAGCACTGAAATATGTCTAGATACATCCTTTTGGGTGAGAAGTAATATGAATCGGATGGAGTACCAATTTAGGAACCCAAATCTATACATAACCCACAAAATGCAGATGTCTACACATTTTGTGTCATTGCTCCCACAATAGCATGATCACTCAACCGCAATAACTAGTGTTTCATCCTACATGTTTGGTGAGAAGCAATTCTACATTATCAACATTCAGGATGCAGTGGTAATCCAAAAGCTACCAAAAACATAACTAGTTGTGAGTATATCTGCCTAGCAATCTAACTCTATTTATCATCGCGGAAATTCATAATTTCGCATCTACATGACCACCTAGTGCCGGTGTACTAATTGCAGCTGAGAACTGACCAACCTAAAAAGATTAAACTTTCCCCAACACAAACTCTAACCTACTCCACGATCATGAATGCAGTCCCTTATGTTATATGGAACAGAATCTAAGAAATCTAAGAAATCACATACACATGCTTACCAAATACAGTACGAACCAAACACCTCAACAATTAAGCAACTTGCTACCGGGCCGCCGTCGCTAGTCCCCGCCAAGATTTACCCCCAAACAACACCAGCATTGACCTGCCTCCTGAGCCGTTAACCGAAAGGCTAAAATCGCCCCATCTTAATCCATCCCGTAGGGCAACATCCTACTGACCTGAGATTTCGATACTCCAGCTTCCATATGCAGCGCGACAGAGGAATAAAAAGGATACAAGGGCCAAGTAGGGAAAGTAAGATGTCACCTTGGCCTGTTGGTGAGAAGGAGGCCAACCTGGCAGAGAAGACGAACAGCCCATGGCCGGCGTAGTGGCGCCGGAAGCAGATCAAGGCGGCGGTCAGCGGTAGTCTGCCGTCGAAGTGGGGTTCGTTTTTGCTAGCTTGCAACTTTTTTTGGCTGTGCCTGTGCGTCGGTCGCTACCCGTCACGCGCGGTTCAGCGGATGGTCTAGTTTTTCTTTCTCTTTTTTGATGGAAAGGCCTTCACGGTCGAAAATTTAAGGGTGAACATGGTTTTATCTTGGGGCTACTACAAATCAGCCGGATCATCCGCCTAGGTAGACGTCCGATCAGTGTGCTGGTGGCCGTTGGATCACAACAACGACACGGCAGCTCAACGCAGCAGCGCCATTGCACCTATGGCAGAGCTCCACCGCTCCAACGCAGCGCCGATAGCGTCCAACGAGCTCCATTGCAGACCCGGCAGGCTTCAACGCAGCACTGACAGCTCCTGCAAAGCTTCATTGCAACTCCGGCGTAACTCCAGCAAGCTCCATTGCAACTCCGGCGTAGCTCCAATGCAACACCGATAGCTCCACGCGAAGCTCCATTGCAACTCCGGCCGAGCTCCATTGCAGCCTCGCCGGAGCTCCAACGGTACACCCGGCTCCGACGAAGCTCCACAGCAACTCCGGCGAAGCTCCATTGCAACCCTGGCAGCCAGTGATGAGCGCTGCATCGCAACAACAATTACCCTGCACCGCCGCGCCCCCATCCGGCGTGCCGCATCAGGAGCCGCCGACGAGCAGCTGGTGAGCATTGCGTCTCAGGGCCAATTGATCCCCTGCACCATGGCGCTCACACCATGAGTAGCTATATCGCAAGCACTGGGATTCTCCGGCGAGCAGTTGCGTCGGAAGCACCAGGATTCGCCGGTGGCCAGCTGCGTCGCAAGCACCGGGATTCGCCGGCGAGCAGCCGCCTCTCCCCTTCGTGTTGCGTCGCCTCCATGGGGTTGCAGCACCGCAGCTGGTGGCGCGCGGGGCTTCACGGCTCTTCAATAAGCCGCGAGATACATCAGGTGGTGCGCCGTGGCTCCTCCTGGTTTGCCTCTATGGAGTTGCTGCTGTTTGCGTTGCCATGGGAGCATCTCTCTAACGAACAGAGACGGGGAGGAGGGAAAAGGAGTGGGGAATAACGTGTGGGGAAGAGAGAGCAAGAAGAGATAAGGTCGCGGCTGGTGGAAAGCGGTGGATGGGCCCAGGGCACGTGTCAAGCAGCGCGGGGGGTTTATCCGGTTGATTTCAAACGTTT